GAGAGAGAGAGAGAGAGAGAGAAAAGCATTTTATTTCTTTATAGATATATGTAGAAACACCAAGATATAAAAAGACATTTTATTTCTTTCTAGAAAAGCGTTTTGGACTTAAGCCAAATTGTTGAAGGAGTAATTTGTGTTCCGAGTTCTTCTTTAATGAGAGACCGTCAGCCATCAAGACGAGGGACCATAGATTCCGTCCGATCTCGGTGAATGGGTGCAATGGCACACACCATTTCATGTATGGATCCAACATGCCTTGATGCGATGAGATCCGTTCGCATTCCAAGCAAATATATGGAGAAGATTTGGAGATAGATTCGTGAAGGAAGAGAGCAGCGAGAGAGATCTCCTTCCGCAAAGGCTGGTCGAGAGTATCGGGAGAGGAGTGGAGCGAGGATTTGGGCGATAACAACTGCTGCGAAAAGATTCGATCAAACAGCTCTTTGGATGCCATCGCACCCCTCAGACAATGCAATCCTAGCCGATTTTTGCGAGATCTTCAGCTCCTCAGATACCTGTCCTCCTCCTTCAATGGATCACGATCGCTTCCTTCTCGGCCCGGAGCGAGGCTGATGGTATTTAGGTTCTTGGTAAGAGTGTTGGATGGAAGTTCTGTTGCTGGGTGAAACGGAGGAAGCATGACACCGGATGAACAGACCAAAGGCAGCGTCCCCGGTGACGGTGGACTCAGAATGGGGAAGAAGAACAAGCAGAAGAAGATCCCCCAGCGCGGGCTTGGAGTCGCCCAATTGGAGAAACTCCGGCTAGAAGAACAGCAGAAGAAGGGCGCGTCTTCCTCCTCCGATCCATCCACGCAGGGCTTCGGTTTCCCGCCGCCGCCCCCGCCCCCGCCACCGCCGCAGCCGCAGCAGCAGCAGCAGCAGCCTTACTTCCCGCTCGCCGCGGACGAAGGCGTGATGCGACCTCGAGTCGCCCTGGTCGTGCCTGTCAATTCCTACCCTGTCATATCAATGCCACCCCCCCGGCCGGTCGCGCAGGACACCTCCATGCCAGTGCTGTGGAACGCCGGCGATCCGAACGCTTGCGACGGTGAGGCTTTTGCTAAGAGTTTTGGGTTTCATGTCCCTCCGGGGAGCGATCTCTCGAACACCAGTTGTCGATCCAGGACGCCAATGACACTGGTTAGGAGCATCCATCTTTCGCTGCGATGTCATGGGTTGCTTCGGTCCGCGGCAGTGCTCACGAGTCCGTGTTGCTTGATCTGCAGGCGAACATGGCATCACCAGCGTCGTCCGTGGAGCCCCCTTCAAACCAAACCACTTCGCATAGCTACGACTTGCTGTCTTGCTGGCGAGAGCGAGAGCGAGAGCGAGAGAAAGAGCGAGCGAGGGTACGCATCACCGCTGCTTTCTCTTCTGCAACAGTTACTACTACCATCATCAAATGGCCATTTCATCTACTCAGTGTAGATCCTTGGCAGGAAGCGGCCATGTCCGTTTTACCCCGACGACATCTCCGGTCAAACAGCTTACCCCTCTAAACTCCCTTCACCTGCAAATGGAATTGCTGGTTTCAGAAGAGACGCTTCGAGTTCCGGTCTTCATCCCGACAGAGGCAACAAAGAAAATGGCGGCTTTCTCACCTTGTGTCCCAAGTGCTCTTCCCCCAACCCATCATTCTATAAACCCGATCATGGTGACGTTGGTCAGGCAAGAAGAAAGTGGTGCACTTTGTTTCACACCCTTCTTACGGTCATCACTCTCTTCTTCCTCCTTGATCGAACTTGCTTGTTTGCTGCAGGATGAACGACCCTACTACAGTTTCATACCCATCGGTCCAAGTAGATCTGAGACAGCAACATCCGAGAGGAGAGGAGAAGCAGCGGATGGTATCGATCTCAATCTGAAGCTTTGAGAAAGGAGGCTTAACATTGCTTTTAGTACGTGTTCTTCGAGTTTCATTTTGGATCGTCATGAATCGCATCATCTGGTAATGTCGTATAAATCGAGACGATGCCATCGATCCAAGAAATCTGCTGCATACTTCAGTTCTACGAGGTCTTTAGACATATATATTATGGATCATATGACTACAAGCCATTGGAGTATGGTTGGAGATCGAGTTGAAGACGATGAAATGAATCATGTGTATGATTTGACCGATCGAACTGCTGCAATGCAGGGAACTAATAAATAATACGAGTGGCGTGATTCTACTGATACATTTAGAAGTAAGCCACTATTCGATGTTCAATCAATAAAGTCACACACATAAATAAAGTAAGGAAAAATCTTTGTTCTATTCTCGTATGTTTTCATTCTGAACTAATTAAATTGAATTTGAATATTAGTGCTGGTAACATTTTAACACTCAAAACGGATTAGATCGGATCAATTTTATCACATCGGATTGATGAGGAATTCATCATTTCCTTATCCATAAAAACAGTAAGTATGAATTAAAATAAAATTTGGGATCGGCTTATCGCTGCTCACGAAGGATGGCTCACGGTTGGAACAATCTCTTTAGACCTAAACAACAGCAATCTAATGGAGGAGTAAAGTGATTGACGAAAACCTAAAAGGATGCAATCTCTTCAGCATTACTCTTATGTTTTTTTAAGGTTAAATGCCAAATGAAAGGTCAAGAATTCATTTGGACTTGCTTGATCATAATCTTCCATGCAGCCCTGTCTCAAACTTGACTCAAAAAGTCTACTTAAGTGGTCTAACTTAGGGTTTCAATAAAAGTAAAATACACATACTCGTAGATCATATCGAGGCGACGAATACATTTTTAAGTCTAATTATAATTTTAGCCCAACTCGGAATTCTCGTCCTAGGATTGGATGATTGAAGCAGAAATCAAATTTGTGGAGTTGGAGATAGTCAAAGATGATAGTCACTATAATAAAAAAAAAAACAAATTTCAGAAATTATTTCATAAATTCTGAATAAAGACTAGATATGTACTTATCGATAAATTTGCATGAAAAATGAAAGATATAGAAACTTGATGTGCTCTGTAAATTATTCCATCAAAGAAAAAGAAGCATGGAAGAGAAGAGTCAAATGAAAGAGAGAAATCCTGACTGATCTTGGATGATCATAATACAAAGAAATATTCTAAGAATTTAATATTAGTGCATATAAATTGGAACGATTCTATAATAATGTGAAAAGCTGATGTGATTGTCGACTTATCATGGTCATGCGAGGACAAAACTCTGAGATGCTGGACCAGGGAATCATGAGTTCCCCAACACATCGTGGCATGCGATGACATGCTGCATCTTTTTGACAAACTTAGCAGCACCTGTTCATGGACCAGCAAGCAGAATCCATCAACAAGATAAACAAGCTCAGATCCTTAATAGCTTCATTTCTTTATCCATTCACAAAATTCTGAAGGAAATCTTTATCCCTCAAAGTTCAATCAATTGCAAGAAGTATGAGGGCACCCCAAATGTGGTGCCATCCTTCCTGTTGGTACACCTGCACAATTCGTAAGGCCAACAAAATGGTGCTCAAAGTCTAAAGTAGCATCATGTCTCCATTTGGTGGCACCGGCAACGCGGTCGGCCGGCAGATTCCATCCGAGTACGAGTTCACTCGAGATAATTCGACTGCTGTGTTGTGATTCTTCCGGGAAGAATCAATCCTCAACACTTTCTTTGTGGTACCCTTTCTAAAAGTAGAGCAAAAAGGAATGCATGTTTCAGAGGCAAATGCAACTGTGCAAGTTGAGTACTAGTCCACACACTCGACACTAGAAACTGCGTCTTTGGCACCTAAACTCCATTGACAGATTCGGTGGATCTTTCGAGGTGGTCAACTGAGCCATTCCTCACCATAGTTGGAGAAGGGATGGTCAACTTCTACGGCCAATCTCTGGCTGAAGGATGGGGATGAGAAGCTTTTGGCCGCTGCTTGGAAAGCTACAATCAACTAGTAAGGGCAACCGACATGAGGAAGGTATTTTTCTAACTAAGCATGCCTTCTACTTTATCCATGCTTTATTCCCCATCACAGTCTCTGTTGAAGAACCGGTGACAGGGAGAGTCTCTTTTTTCTTGAGCTAGACAAAACCAATGGAGGCAATGATAGGGTTTCTCTTATTGGTTGTCGACATAAGGTCATCATCGACTGACCAATCATTAACGACATACGTTGCACATGATTGGATGTAGCTAAAGCCATTTGAGAGAAGTCATAAAGGATCATCCATGCAATGCGAAGAACAGTGCTGAATCAAGCCAAGCATGTTTTCTTCTCTACTGAAAGTAACAATGAAGCATGAAGCCAAGAGAAATGGTGAAAGAACTCTGCTAACAACCCAGTAGTGTGATTCAGTGCATGACTCCATGCACGGGCTGCCGTGTGGCGGAAGGGGAGAGGACGAGAGGATGAGTCGGGGCAGCCCACCCTCTCTCCTGCTGCCACATCAGCACATCCCCACATGGAGACAGTGTGTATCTGGCATTTCTTGATGATGATAAGAACAGGTCAAGCTGCTTGTATGTGCACTGAGATTTTTCTAACAACAATGAAGGTCCAAAGAAACAAAGGCCAATAATTAAGAGGTATCATTCTAACAATTCTAAAAACAGTGACAACCCACCATAAAACCCTGGCCCAGTCGTTGGTATATTTATTTTTCTTTTAAACAAATCAGTAGATTTGAATGCTTGCATGGAGACAGTGCCCAACAAGCATTTAACCTAAGATAATCAGTGATAATGTCATTACTGGGTTAGATTAGGAACCAACCTGGCATAAGAACTGGTTAATAAAGAGTGAAGGGAATGGATCTGGTGGATCCTTCTCCGATTCTCTAGTCAGAACATGTGAGCTTTTTGAATGGAAAGAAAGAAAGATGGAGTGGAACCAGATGCCAGGTTACTCAAATTTGAGGCTCAGATACCACAATTTGATGTGTGCATGTGGGATAAGAGAATTATATGCATCAAAGAACAGGAATATGGTTTGGCCATGTCTGTTTTGAGAGTTTCAGTCAAGCAGGAAGCCCCATATGCTTTTGTCGACAAATGGAACATTATTGAGCAAGCCTGAGCAAATCTAGACTTCAAAGTGCTGTTATGAATGTCTTACCTGAAACGACCTTAATTGGACCTCCTTATGCATGATCATATGCTACTGCCACTCTACAATCTTTCAGAAGACTCATGATATCCTAAATAGATCAAGATGATAAACCTCTAAATCTTAGGTTGACAAGAACATGACAGATGAAAAGAAGGCAAAAGGAATCCACAAGAGTGATAGTTGACCAGAGAATTAAGCCATGGCCCAAAATCAATGAAGACTATGACATGAGGGAGCTATCACATGGAATTTTTTCGAGTTGAAGGACCACTTTACCTCTTAGGATGGGGATGATGAGCTTCCAAGAAAGACCTGCTCAGTGGATACGGACAGAGTGACATCCAGAGAAGCAATCCATCAGCTACCTGCAAAATCAAAAGATACATGAGTGAATTCTTATCAACAAACTTCCCTCAAGGAGCAGTAAACTTAAACATTCTCCCACAGGAACCACATAATTCGCGGTGCAATCTAGTTTTGAAAACAAAGCAGCATGATTATCTGAGATCCTCCTCTGGAATATTCATTGCGTGATTTCAAAGACTCGTAATCCAGAAGGACATCTTGATTTATGTGGAAAAAGGATGTGATCATGAAGAGAAACTCAATTCAAAGATGCAGATTATACATGGGTTTTTGTACTCTTGATCTTTCCTGAAACGTGTGGATCATGTGACTCTTAAGAGTGGCAGCTTGGTTCCTGGAATAAACATTAAACATGTCTTGAACAACCACCACATAAAAATGAAGAAAAGTATAGTTAATGAATGGACATGAAAAAGGTAATATCAATATATCATATCCAAACAGCACATGGTCTCTTCAGTTGTAGTGCACCACAAAGCTCCTTCTTTGGTTGTCCATATCGAGAGATAATAGATGTAGATGAAGTTAAATCACCAGAGATTCAGGATACACACTAATGGTGTTAGAGCTGTACATCTGTTGTTTACATTAGTCAAATTAATTCCCTAAACACACAGGAAGTGGTCAGCACTCAATACTGATCACCTTCTAAATGGTGAGCATTGAACCATGAGGCTGACATGCAAGTTAGCCAGCGACAACCTTGATGACAAGCCAAAGAGGTAAATTCCTAAAATTTCTTTACCGTCACCTACCACAGTCAATGTAATAAAGATGGCAAGATGGACCATTGGAGATTCAACTATCAAAGCCATTTCAGGCGAACTACCTTGCAGAATATGACCTCAATGTAGTACTATACTGTGTTTTCTCTCCTGACTTCTGCTTTAATCAGTTTGTGGCCCCTGCCCTTTACATCAAAGATCCTCAACATCATCGAGGGTTGTGTGACAAAGTAAGCTGCTTTCTGAACTAACTCACATGTCCATGGATCGAGAAGCACCTAAACTGATCCACACAGTAGCTTGAATTGAACAAACCACTTGACATTTTAAGTATGATTTGCAAAATGCTTCGTTCAACTATGTCAGGCTTCTGTAGCTTTGAGTCTACCTGAAGGCAAAGCAAATAAATCCTCCTCTTGTTGCCAGTTGCCCTAGAAGTAATGGTCCAAAGTAGAATGCTCACATTAGGATCATCAGTGTCCTCTCAAATTCAGAAATATATTATGGGAAATTAAATTCACAATTAATTAAACAGTTGTTTAATTAACTGTTTCTAGATGAACTAATTAAAACATTCTTCGAAATCCTCTGCAAAGAACATGTTTGCGCAAGATGCAAATTATGTAAATTGATTTCCATCTGCATAAGAACATATTGAGACCTATTAACTAAGAAGGCAAAAGAGATACTTCATTCATAGATCAAATGGTAGTTACTGGACCACATTCTTCAACCATAAGGAGCATAAATAATCAGAGGTCACTTTAATGCCTGAAGTTGGGAAATTGCTTTTGAGATGAACTTTTGTGAATCTAGTTCAGTTTTCAACCCCAGCCTTCTCCCAATATCCTGACAAAAGTAACAAGCATCAGTAATGGGATACTATCTAGAGTAATCTTGATGCTTTAGAACCTGTACTATCAATCTTTAGAGCAAACATCCATCAAGTAGGGTCTCGCCATCTTCTTAATTAAATTACACCCATCTGCATGGCCACCTAAA